AAGTAGCATATTTTGTGATCAGCTGCACATACATATATGCATATAAGAATATGTTTAAGCATCCATGACTTTGGGAAGGAAAAACAAATTTTGCGATAAAATTCTGCAAAATGCATACGCACGTAACTACAATTATAAATATATACTAAAGGTATGTCTTTCGTCACTTACTAATACTCATGCTCTCTCTCTCTATGCTCTCACTATAAAATCTTGAAAAAGTTACGCACTGATATGTAATACTCACATAAGGTGTAATATATAAACGAACATCATGACCTTTTGAGGAAATGCTGTAAATTATAACTTCGGAACTTCTTTACACTTATTACCTTATTTTGTTCTCTGTCATGATTGTTTGCATATGTACAATTGACGAATTTAATATAGGGCATGTTTTCGATACAATTAGGATACGAACGAACTTGGGATGCAATCAAGTAATCTAATACCTATTTGTTAAAAATTTGCACTGACTGAAAAATTTGAATTTTGTTAAGTTTTTTTTAATTAAAAAAGACATTGGGCCCAATTAGTGGAAAAAATTATTTTGAACTAATCATTACAATTATTTAAAAACTTTCAAAATAGGCTCTTGTTGTTGTTTTCTTGTTTTGGATTCATACTCGTCACTTGTGATTACGATATTCAAAAATTGGGTTTTGGTTAGCACTTTTAGGACTATTTTCGCGCGCACCTCGCGAATAATGTTGTGATCCACAGATTTTAATAAATTTAACATTTTGGCAGTTAAACGCATACTTAGTCGACGGTCTGAGCTCAAGACTTTGCACACACGAGCCACATTGTCGGTGTTTGTCGAAATCGCAGGTCTCCTAGCATGGACCTCATAACCGACCTCTTCCCGGCCCACTAAAGAGTTTCACACAGGGTAATTGTTTCCACGAATTGTACAGTACAATATTCGCTTCCAAATTTGTTGTATAAGTATATACACATATATTAGATTCTGTAGACTTTTTCTATATGTATGATATCGCTTGACATATGTATAATGCTGCTATATCTCATTGGAAAGCTGAGAAAAATCGTAATGATTTGGCTGGCTTGTTATTTATTTAGTGAAATATATCTTTTCGTATACAAAAATATTTAAAGGATTTTTTTTATTGAGTCCAAATAAAAAAAATATGTGTTCAATATTTTGCCTCAAAAAAAATTTTAATGTGAATTTCGGATGGAATGACCCATATATTGTATGTATATTACAATTATAAAAACATTTGAGAATCTTATTAGTTCAATTAATTTAACGTTTAGAAATATGCAAATATAATTCCTTTAATCCTCAGAAAAATGTTATTTAACAACCGGAGTTCATGGTCATTAATTCTTTGACAAATAAAGTTTGTTTTCAAATCACAATTGTAAACACAGGGGTTCATAGAGCAATGGAAATGAAATTTTGAAAAATGCTATTTAATTAGGTATAAGTCGTAACGATCCGAAAATATAGCGTTCAGAGTTGTATTTGTGTAAACGTTTTTTAGTATGCAATTCAACTGCAAATTTTTTAACTTGTATACAAATTTACGATTTTACGATGCTTTATAACAAGTTGTCAATGTATTTGTTTTTTTTTGGAAGCATTTCAAATCGATATTTGTACCCTTGCTTAAATAATAAGTGTTTATTTATTTATGACACCTGCTAGAATTTGCAAAACCTGTTACAAAATTATGATATATTTTACTATATTAAAAAGCTTGTCAATATATGAAAAATAATAATATTTTTTGACAAGTTAGTTTTACGATGCATTTGAAATGAGAACTACGGAATATATTTAGGAACAGTGTCAGTCTTGTGTGATCCCCAAAATCGGAGAAAGTGGAAATTTTTAAAAATTAGAAGAATTTACGGAGTAATATGAATATTAAAAATATGTTTAAAGTAAACCCCCTCGCATAAAGAAATTTTGAATCCGCCACTGAGAACTTTAACCGAACAAACCATTGATACATTTGCGATTCGCTCTTACACCATTGAAGGAAATTTACAGGGATACCATTGCCTGCCAAGAGAAAAGGCTTTTTAGTATGGATCGGAAACTGAATTCGGCACCACTACATATTTTGTCATCTAAGCAATTAAGGACCGATAGATTAACCTACTTAAGGCATTCAGTGTACAATTAGTCTTAGTTAACAGGATGCATTTCTAAATAGGTTAATAGAAACAATTTCCCGGACTACCGGATTCCAATGCAGCATATCTTATATACAAATATCAGATAGCGTTTGCATTTAAGTATAAATGTGTGTACGTAATTATTACTTACAAGGAGAAAATATAAGTTAAGAAAGATAGAATTAAGTGATAGATTAATGGTAAATGAATTTGTTAAGTTTCAGACTTTAATTACGGAGACGGTTCGAATAACAAAATAAGTAAATATATGTATATAATAATTCCTCATATGCAGATAAGCAAAGCAAATGATGTTACGATACCGGAATGCCGCTTTTTCATCTGAGCAACAAGATCAGAATTCTGTTTTATCAACAGAAAAAATTACAGTTCATATGTTCCTCATTCGCTTATTTAGTCGTAAAAATCGATCGTAATCGCCGAAGCAGTGTCAGAAAACCGATACGTTGTCGGTTGCAAAATTGAGCAGAAGTATTCAAATAATGATTTTTGAGGAAACGAAAATCCGTATTTTAAAACTACTTGTTGGTTTGTTTTAATTTATGAGAAGAACTATGCAAATATTACTTTCTTTCAGTTTTATTAACTTCTATGCTCAATTAAGGGATGGGTCAACTTAGAGCAAAACTCTTTAATAAGAATAAAATTAGTGTTGAACTTTTCAAATTTAGAGAATATCGTACAGAAGATTTATATCGACACTTTCACTGTATAACAAAACAATTAAGATTAAATATTGAATTATTCGTATTATTAGCTATAAATTTGTTTATATTCACAATTCCCTCAAATTTTTTCCAAAAGAAATTCTTGATTAATTTGATATGTGATATTAACTTTATAGAATCAATTAAAAGTATTTTAAACAAGTATCGAAGGACTAAGTTCGGGAACAACCGGACATTTTATACTCTTGAAACTTGCAAGAATTAAAGCCAAAGAAATACCTTAAGATGCGAAACGTAAACCAGAGGATCGGAATCTAAGAAGTTTTATACATACATATAGAGTATAGGTATTTAGAACTCATACACTGGCCGACAAATTCGGCATAAGATTTATTAGAGAAACGATTTCCATTATATGTAGAATATGGGAGTATATGGGAGTTTAGTTAGTATCGACCCGATATTATACATTAACTATTATCATTAAGGTGCCTCACATACAATCACCAATGGAGCAAAGTCCTGGTAATGGTTATATGGGGCTTAAGTCAAGTTTTGGCGCAAAGATACACTGTCATGATTAAAATAGGCTCTCCCAAATTCATTCAGGAAACTCACATATTGGCCGATGTGTGGTACAAAGTTCTATTATCTTAAATTAAGTATATGGAGGCTAAGGAAAGTATTATCCCGGTTCAACACACTTTTGACGTGCAGACATACCATTGTCAGAGAAGGTTTATCACCGAATTTCAATTATATATCTCCCACATTGACAGATATTTTCGGTCAAAAGTCAACTAATACTGTGGTCTAAATATTCGTTAACGAACAGTTTTAGTTGGACAGTTTTTGGTCAAAAGGCGCCATACTTTAAGGGAATTATTATGCAAAATTTTATTCCGCTATATTAATTACTTCTTAGTTTGTATACTGGAAAGTGAGTGAGTGAGTAGGGGTGGATGTTGTCCGGTTTTGCTTATTTTCACACTGTAACATAGGAATGTTAGAAAAATGATACGTACTAAATTTAGTCGAAATCGGTCCCAAGATATGGGATTTCACTAAAAAGAGGGCGGTGCTACCCGCATCGTCCAATTTTTACACCAGCTCTCATAAAGTCTACTCATGCCATCTAAGTGGTAAAATTAAAGTCTTTGCCATAATGAATTCGTTGTGCTTTTAGTAGTTTTAAACAGCGCCGTTATATGGGGAGTGATTGGAGTTATCATACGATTTCTTCGTATTCGAACTCAGCAAATTTGATTGTTGTAGTTTCAATGGCTTAGGAGATATGTATTTTAAACTGCAATCGCCTGTGCCAAAAATCAATTTTGTATCTCAATTTAGTACTAAATTATGCCACTTTATATGTTTTGGGATGATGGCGATCCGTGGGCTTGGCAGTGGCCCATCTAAGAACTCGAAATTTTTTTTTTACTGAGAGAGAACATACCAGGTTTCATCAAGATATTTCAATTTTTACTCAAGTTACAGCTTGTACATATGTACGGACAGACAAACAGTCACCCGGATTTCAACTTTTCTCGTCATTATGATCATTTTTATATATAGATAACCCTATATCTATCTCGATTAGTTTCAGGTGATATGTACAACCGTTAAGTGTGTAGCAACTGATTGCAAGAGTATAAAAATGTGGGCCATGCTTAATATATTTAAAAAATATCAAAATTTTCAAGTGTTGTGCACATTTCACAGCACTTTGCAGCGGTACATTTTGAGAAAAAGAAATTTCTTATTTAGAAATAAGGTAATGAATGACATGTTACTTATCAAAAATATTAAAAGTTGAAAACAAAACACATTATTCTATAGACAAAATCATTAGAAAGTTAGTCAGCTTTACAAATTGAGCTCGAAATATAAGAAACTGACATGCGATGAAAAAATTATATATATATTTATTTTTTTATTTAATTTCAATTATAGTTTAATATTTTATCTTATTTTTATGTTTTTAATTGAAGCACGAATTTAATTTCATTTACACTATATTTAAAATTAATGTTTTATTTTCCTTCTTTTTTTTAATTGAAACACGAAGTTTAGTCGCGGTGTTACATAAAAAACTATAATTATGATAAGATAATGTAATTTAGTTTACTTATGTTTACTAAAAACATAAAAAACACTAAATTGAAAAAAAATCCCGAAAAAATTTTACAAAGTATAAAGTGCGTGGCCACGAGTGTATGTTAGCTGCATTGGAGCAATTCAGAAAACATAAAAAATTAAGTTTCCAGTTTTCTGATTGCCACGAAGTTGGTAACTCCCAAAAGGAAACGTCGCAGATTCTTAACAAATGTAAATCTATAAATGATCAGCATTACGAGGTGAATCGATTTTGCTATGTCCGCCGTCGGCCTAACTGCATATATACCTAGAATACTAGTCCACCAGTATTTTAGATATCGATCTGAAATTGTATACAAGTATTTTTCTGCCCAAGAAGCTACTCATTTGTCAGAACCGCCGGCATCATACGAGTACCACTACAGCATTTAGCTGTCATACAAACTGAACGATCAATATTAAGACATTGAATGAAAGACCTTGACCCCTAGTGGGGGAACACCATGTAACCTGACAGGAATGTTGCTCAAACGAATTAAATATTGAATAATGATCTAAAAAATGAGAATGCAATACTTAAACTCCAAAACGAAAACCTAAGAAAATCTTAATAAATATATCAGTAAAATGGTTTCTTCTCCATCCAAATCAACCTTTGTAGCTGAAAACGACGAAGAAGAGCTGGAAAGTGAAACAAATTGGCTATTAAAAAAGAAAAAAAGTAGGGAAAGTAAAAAAATCAAAGCAGATTATTCATCGGATGTAACGCTGAATTCTTTGAGTCCGGAGAATACAGCAGAAGGTAAAACAGCTATAAAAGTAAGTCATCGCTCTCCGCCAATTATTATATAGGAAAATTTTAACCAAACTTTGATGCGTTCCTTGATAAATGCGAAATCAAAAAATACTTCCACACCTAAGCTTACTGGCCCTAGTCCATATAAAATAAACCAGACAATTCAGACTATAGAATACTCACAAGGAAATTAAAAGAATCGCTAATTTCCTGGTACTCGAATGAGGACTAGCAATTGCGCAATATACGCGTAATGATAAAAGATCTTTATCAAAATAAAGAGCATAACCACTCTCGAATAGTTCGAGAAATATGTTTGTCTCTTTTGTAAAATGGGTTTCTGATATTAGACAAATATCAATTTTTTCAACGTGGAGTAATGACTCTAATTCCTTACTACGTTTGAGCAAGGCACTTGCATTCCCGGTCATAATTTTTATTGGTTTAATTTTTGCGCCTTACTTTCGTTTTCTGTCATTCTAGTTGAGTAAGGCATTCGTGGGTAAGTTTATTTTTCTCTTCTAGCTTATTAAGCTTGTTCAGAATTAATGAGAAATTATTAGTAATATCACTAATGGCATTCAAATTTTTTTGGTTTGCAAACATATGTTGTTGAACTTGATTAGTATGTTTAGTTATGTTGGCAAATGGGGTTTTCCAGATTGCTGACTTACAAGTACATACATTAGTAACTTTCTTCAGAGGGGCAGTAGAAGCGGTTGTACTTAAATTGTTGTTGGTTATGCTTTTTACTTTTCTCAGTCACCTTTTTAATTTTTTGAAGTTGTTTTGCAACTTCACATCCCCTATTATTCGCGAGAGGGGGGAGTGCCATAGTTATCAGAGATAATATTCCCCACAACGAAGAAATTAATATAAGTGTCCCAGAATTCCAAACCACGACCATATCGGTTGAATTAATTTCGGGAAAAGAAGTATTACCGAAATATATAGCCCACCTAGACACAATATCAAAGTGGACTTGTACACAGAACTTATACTAAAACACCCCGGGAAATTCATTATGGGTGGTAATTTTAACGCAAAACACTCCTAATTGGGTTCCAGAGTTACGACACCGATGGAGAGAGAGCTATTTAAAGCTGCTATGGCCACTGGATACGACTTCTTGTCTACTGGCAAGCCGAAACAAGAAAATTACCTGACTTGGTCGACTATTTCATCACTCGACAAATATCCAAGACCTTCATTACCACGGAAAATGGATTGGACTTAAATACGGATAAGGAGTATTTCAAAGTTATTCTCGACAAAAATATAGGTTTTTAAGTAAATATACGGGTGGGGATAACCCGTATGTTTGGGATTATTCTCTTTGGGAAGCTGTAAAAAATGAAAGGAATCCAATATTGTCAAGTTCACCTCACAGAAAGCCAAACGGTTCCTGGGCCAAAAGTGTCGAAGCAAAAGCGGAAGTTTTTCAGAGAAACTAACTAAACCGTTTAGTCCCTTTATGTTTCATGGAACTTTACCGCAGCTGGAAGGATCGCAATACGTAGACAACCAACCAGCAACAATTAAAGAAGTAGAAAATATCATTATCACTAGACCAACCAAAAAAAGCTCCCGGCTTCGACCTGGTGACTGCTGATGGATTAAAAAATATATCGCGAAAAGCATTTGGAAAACTTCTATCGCTAATAAATTCTTGCTTAAATCTCAGATACGTCTCACTGTCGTGAAAGGTATCTTCATTATGGTACAAAAACCCGGTAAAAACGCAAAGGAGGCCTCGTCATATCGTCCGATGAAGATGTAATTATAAGAAGATTTCACAACATAACTGAAGAAAAGGGCATTCGTATAAGAATGGTAAGCCATAGTCAATCTTTGAAAATATTATAGCCTTAGTAACATTAAGTGCTTGGATGGATAAGGCAGTGTTTAGAAGATAGATTTGTAATAATATTTAACCTGAAAGCTATGCTTTTTTTAACCAAAGAGAGTGCTCTTTAAAAGTTAAACGTTTATCGAAAGTTATTCCCAGGAAGCATAAGCTAGAAACATTTGAAATATTAATATTACTATGAACTAAGTTTAAATCCGTACATCTATGTTTACGGCATATATGAAAATATTTGACAGAGTCGCTCCGAACAAATTTGACCAGTTAGAGATATCAGTTAGTATTTTCAAAAAATTATTTTTACAGTGTTTAGATTGCTTATTTTAGAGTAGAGTAAATCACCATCTGCATAAATAATGTTGGAAATGTTGTTATGTCTGCTAATTACACTGTGGAAGATTTTTGGGATTATTGTCTGGGGGGTGAGAAATTCCAAGTCAGGGTAATGGTACTAGGTCAGTATAGTAAAACCCTCAAAGGGTTTGGCGTTCGTATGTGTCAGTTTCTTTTTATGACCTTTTAAATTTTTTCCTTATCTTGATGTTTTTTCGCTTAGTTTGGCAAAAACAAAAAAGTTCGTATATATTCAGACAGACGGACAAACAGACCATGGCTAAATCGACTCAGCTCAACATTCTGATCATTTATATATATACTTTATAGGGTCTCCGAAGCTTCCTTCTGGGGTGTTACAAATTTCGTGACAAACTTATTATACCCTGTTCAGGGTATAATTAACAGCTGTTTTACGACATTGCTAAATCGCGATATACATACATTAAATGAGTACCACTATTGTGTTCCAATATACATATGTCCATTTCTGTTCGTACGCAGGATGATAATGATATTGCAATATAAAAACTATTTGTGCATGCGATTTATCGCATTTAGTTGCATATATGTTTGTATATATTTATGTATAGAAGTGTAGTACATCTAAGTCTGTTTTTACACAAAACATATGTTCCAAAAACAAAAAAAMAAAAAAAGAAAGCAACATTGTAAAAAACATTAATCGAAAATAAGTAATTGGTTTTTTTGGGAACAATAAGATTTAAATTTCAAATATGGTTCAATGCACAAAATGAAAATTTCTCTTCGGACACAACTACCCTATTTCGACTAAATTTTTTACGAAGTCACAGTGTGATCGGGCTACAACCACGCCTACTTCCCATAAAACACAATTCAAAATTCAATTGTAAGGTACCTTGTTTGGTGCCATGGGTTTCATGGAAAATTTTTCTAGTGTATGGCATGAGAATACTACCCAATCTCCCATATGCCACGTATAATGATTTTCGTTTTTGTAAATCTTATACTGAATCTATCGGTCAGTGTATGAGTTATATGGATAACTAGCTGATCCCGCAGCCGTTGTCCTGCGTGCGTTTATTTGCGATTTTTCTACATTTTTTTAATGTAGCGCAGCTTGATAAACACAATTTGTTGGTTTCTTTTTCGGTGCGTAAATGTAAAGAGATGATGGTTTTCCAACAAAACATAGCATTTCCAGATTTATGCCACACTCTTCTAGCGACTATCCTTGAAACTTTTCCTGGAAACTGAATACGATTGAACTGAAATGGCAAATCGTCGGAACTCAAAGGAATTCGTAAAATCAACCATTCTGCCCCCTTGTATTCGATAACTGCGTCACACTCAGTCGGGTTCCTTTACACAGTTTTGGCGCTTGAAGACGCAACTTTGAGACGTAAATGATGCTGCGGCATACCAAGTTCCTCCAAAGAATTTAGAAATTCCACTGGATAATTCACGGCTTCGTCTTCATTGTCAAGACGATCGATCGATTTTTATGAGCGCGAACCTCCTGCAATTTGATTTTGAACTTTCCTGTTTAATTAACATCGGTGTTTTCGCCAGGAAAAATTGCGCGTTCACTCAAGCAATCGTAGTTCCTATAATATGGCCAATATTGGGATAAACTTTCGTGATGAGTTCATATTTCGTGGAAATGAACTGACAAAAGGCAGGTGAAATTGATACCAATCCGCTGGAAGCATCAACCGAAATTTGGCCATTTCCAATTCTTAGCGAATACAATATCTCATTGCCCCTCGTTTCTTTCCAGTTATTATCATGTTCCAGCAATTGCAATTGCTGGCATGCTTCTCAAAAAGTTACACACACTGTACCATTCACATACGCAATTTCATGAATTGCAAAAGTAGGTATCCTTCAAAGCGCTTTATTGCAGTTCACGTATCAACCCATTTGATACTTCCAAATCTCTTCTCGTTCCAGGTCAATAATCGCCACGTTGCTTTCTTTGGTGACGTAGTTACAAACGTATTTGATCGATTTCACCAAATTGACATGAGTTTTGATGTGTTATATTCGATATTCACGCTTCTAACTTGAATGCTATATGTTCTGCCATTGTCGTCTGGTGATCGACGCCGATACAGTGGATATCCATCATTTCCAGTTTGCGTTCCCGAAAGAAAAGCGCACGTGGATGGTGTTTCGTGCATTTATTATTAGACATACAAACCGAAGTGGAATTGTGAAGTCCGCAAAGTCCATGAACCATATTGGTTTGCACCTCAGGATCAGGAAATAATTTCATCAATTTGATTTGGTGTAACCACCATCTATCACCTATAGAAGAATGTGTCCATGCGGCAAACCTCTCTTTTGCGAGTCAATAGAGTACATCTATCATCTAACAGCATCATATATACCATACGTTGCTTCAAGATAAAGTCCATCAAACATCGTAGCTGTTGTTTGGAAAGTCGTACTGGGACATCGTGACGATCGCTTTCTGATTGACCGCGATCCATAATTCCGCAAGTATGCCATCGCATCCTGGGAGTACTTCTTGCCTTGCCTTTCGCCTTCCGTTGATGGCAAAAAGAACGACGACTGATATTAGCGCGATCTCTTCGTTGCTTCGTAACAAAATTCAATCCGTAATTGAGCACTATTGTGAGTGAAACACACAAAAAGTTTTCACTGAATAACTTTCAATAAAGTTTTTAGAAATTAGAAATCCCAATGACAAGTTTAAGAAATTAATTGATTTGCGAAGTCAGTAAAAATGTAGATTGCTTACTTAACTATTCCAATATTTAGTTATCATATTTAATGCTATCCTTGAAAACAAGGAGCAAGCGGAGCCCCAGGCTTAGACTAGTGTGTGTTATAATTTACAAAAGTAAATAACACAGTACAACAGCTAATATGGGGGGTGAGAAATTCCAAGACAGGGTGATGGTACTAGGTCAGTATAGTAAAACCCTCAAAGGGTTTGGCGTTCGAACGTGTCAGTTTTTTTTATGACCTTTTAAATTTTTTCTTTATCTTGGCAAAAAAAAAAAAAGTTTTACTAAGCGAAAAAACATCAAGATAAGGAAAAAATTTAAAAGATCATAAAAAAAACTGACACATACGAACGCCAAACCCTTTAAGGGTTCACTATACTGACCTAGTACCATCACCCTGACTTGGAATTTCCCACCCCCCATATTAGCTGTTGTACTGTGTTATTTACTTTTGTAAATTATAACACACACTAGTCTAAGCCTGGGGCTCCGCTTGCTCCTTGTTTTCGGAAAGAGGGGTTCCTTGTGGGATACCATTTTGTTGGTTATGTAAAATGGAAAAAACATTATTTAATTTTACTTTGAATTTACGGTTAGTGAAACGATTTTTTCTATTAACTTACTCATGCAACATATAAGTAAAATAGGTCTATAATTTTGAACTTCTGAGGACGGGATAGTAGACTTTAGTATGGGAAAAATTGTTGCAATTTTCCAGTTTTGTCGATAAATTCCGTCCGTTAAAATTTGATTGTACAGATTGATTAATCGTAATTTAAGCGGTGGAGGCAAGTTTGTTATCATATCGTATGAAATTCTATCTGCGTCAGAAGTTTTCCCTGACAGAGAAGATATTGTACTTTCGAATTCTAGATAAGTCATCTCTGATTCTATTATTTTAGCTGGTGAGTTAAACTCATTATAGCTACGACTCAGAGTTTCATATTCGTTTTCTATAAAAGTGGAACTAAAGTTCCCGTCGCTGGAATACGTAGACCAAGTGGAGGCAAACTGTTCAGCTATCGCCTTGGGATCGAATATTGGACCAGTTGGGCTATTAAAAAAATTTATATTGACTTGGGAAGGTTAGCCAGTTAGCATTTCCGACCAAATCTTTTTAGGATTAGAACTGGGATTTATTTCTGTGGTAAGTTTTTCGAAGCACATTCGTTTTGCTTCTTTAGTTTTCTTAAGAAAAATAGCATTTGCTTTCTTGTATAAAATCAGATTGGCTTCTGTCCTGGAAAGCTTGTATTGTCTCCAGTAATGCTGTTTTAAATTTCTTAAGCTCTCCAACTCCTTTGACCAGTAAAGAACTACTTTTTTATGGGGCTTAGAAATAGTTTGCGGAATTGAAAGGTGCGCTGCAGACCTTAATATTATGGTGATATTAGCCGCCTCTTTTTGACATTTTGAGATACCGGGATTTGATCGCAGAACAGAATTGCCTTTTGCGTGTATTTACACCTTTTCTGGTCAGGAACTTTGGTTTAGGAAAGGCCTTTGCAAAGGATGACTTTGCAATTTCAGTTACTATTGGGTAGTGGTCACTAACACACAAACTATCAGGAGTTCGGCTATTCACTTTTGGAGCTATATTGGTAGAGCAAATAGATAGGTCGATATGCGTAAACGAATTATCAATTGAAAAATGCGTCGGGGCACCATCGTTCGATACGGTAAGATTCTCTGTAAGAACTAAGTTTTCCAGAATTAATCCTCTTTGGTTGGTTCGGGTGGAGCCCCATAATGCGGACCATGAATTCATATTTACAACGGGCTTGGGTACTAAAGAGAGAATTTGCTGAAGCTCAGTAAGCGTATAATTTTGTTGTAGGGGAATATACAAGCAAATAATCGTAAATTTAAATTCTGTGGATACCTGAGTGTTTAAAGAAGCTATATTTGAATGGATTTCGCGGCATTTATGTAGAATGTCTTTTCTTACTAAAACAGCAATACCTTGTTTGTTTGTTAAACTCTGAGGTAAATTTAAGAAATAGCTAACATACTTATTTGGTAGAAAATCTTCTTTATTTACAGCAGGATGAGTTCCTTTTAAGGCAATGAAGTGTGGTGAGATTCCTTTAGTGAGAGTTTCGAGTTCAGTGTAGTTGTTGTAGAAGCCCCTTATGGTCCATTGAAGTATATTGAACATAGAGCAAATAAGACAGAGAAGAATGTATTAAATTTCCTCATCGTCGAACGTTGGCATAATCTGATCATGGTCTGGGTGACTGTATTGTTGAGTAATTAATGGGTTGGTTTGTGAGTTTTTGATAAAAGCATTTGAAGGGTGGTGAGATTGTAGTTCGCTGATAAATGACTGAGTGGAGTTAGTAGGTTGAGGTGTGGAATTATTAGCAAAGCTGTTGAGAGTGCTGTGGGAGGAAGAATTGAGAGAAACAAATAGGAGAGATTCAGAGTTTACTGGATTTATTGTGTTACTTTTTTCTGGAATATAATTTAGTGTTAGAGCGTAAGAAGAGGTTGCTGAAGTGTTTTAGTCGTTGTTGGCGTTTGGAGTAAGATATGGTTGAGCAGTGTTAGTGCTCTCTACAGTCTCATTGTGAGAGACTTCGGAAGAAGTTGTATTGGATTCGAAAGGTATATGAATGGAATGTGCTGTAGGAAGTTTTGAGTTGTTGTAATTCTTTGATTCGTTTTGTTTTACTTTTTCTGCAAAAGTAGTGTTTGGAAGACTGGACACTTGTGCTTTATGTAGTTTTATAGCCTCACGTACATTTGTTCACAGTTTTAATTTTTAGAATTTCTTTAGTTTTTATGTACCTTGGACAAGTATTTGAATATGATGGGTCCTCACCAGCGCAGTGAGCGTATAAGGTGCGCAAACATCATACTGAGCCGTGAGGAGGGAAATTATGGTTTCACACGCGGGTTTGTTGTTACACCTTTTAAAGGTTTGCCCTAAGATTTGGCATGATTGCTTGCTTTCACTTCACAAATTCCATTCAACCGCTTTGTATTTAAAAAACTGTTGTGCAATTGTTGTATTTTTTACCAGCAACAACAAATTACCATCACGTAGCTCGGAAATGGAAATTATTTCTTTGCTTATAGCTTTCAATGCTTTATGCACTGCAAAACCCGAGTATTTCTATATTGGTTTTGTTGAATCTCTTGCTGAAATAGTAGGGAATTTCGGATTGTTCCGTTTAGTTTTAGGTAGTTCGGGAAAAATTTGGGGGTTTATATATTGTTTCTTTACGTTTGGCTTTGGGACATTCAGCTAACAAAGCGAACCTATTGTTCCCCAAATTTGGTTTGCCCTGAGACAGCCAAATCAAACATACTATACTACTAGCAAGTATTGAAGATGCACCAGCAACGGACAAATTTAGCTTCGTTCAACGTAAAATCATCAAAGGTTTCGCCAAGAGTCAGCAACGCCTTCTTCAACATGTATCTAAGGAGCTTCCACTAAGTGACCGTAGGCCTAGCGATTTGTGCAACAAAATGCGACGAAATATAAGATTTTTGGGTCAGCCGCTTGCCACCGTACGCACAAATCGGAAAATTGAACTTTTCCAAAAAGTAACTTTTTTCCGTAGACATTTTTTTAGATTTATTTTTGTTTTGTTTTTCAATATTTTGATTTGTTAATTATTTGAATCGTTCAATTTCGGTCGCTTCCTTTTTTATTCCGTTTATTCAAAAGAAATATTATTGAAAATTATTCATTGAAAACTTTATGTGTGTTTCACACAAAGTGATTACTTAGATTGAAATTTGCTACGAAGCCACAAAGGGGTCACGCTAATATCGGTCGGCGCTCTTTTTGCCTTAAAGTATAGCAGCCCGAGACACATGAGTACTCCTCGGATGCAATGACCTACGTGGAATTATGGATAGCGGTCAATCAGCAAGCGATGGTCACGATGTCACAGCACGACTTTTCAAACAACAGCTACAATGTTTGATGGACTTTATCTTGAAGCAATGATGGTGTTAGATGCTGGATGTACTCTGTTTAGGGGCAAAAAAAGAGGGTTCCTGCACATATACTTCTTTGGACGGTGAATGGTGGTTACACCAGATCAAATTGATGAAATGATTTCTGCGGAAATTTCTGATGCAAAAAAAGGTCCAGTATTATACTAAGTGCTGAAAGCCAATAGGTTCATGGTCCTTGTGGACACCACAATCCCACTTCGGCTTGTATGTCCGACAATAAATGCATGAAACACTATCCACGTTCTTTTTCTTTAGAAACGCAAACTTTAAATGATGGATGCATTAAAATAAAACGTACATTGAAATAAGACGAAAAAAAAGGGAAGCGAATATTTTCAATAATTCAGTTTTTTGAACAAAATTAAGGAAATACTACAGAAGCATGATTCACCAGAAGCATGATATCTGAACTCAGAATGAATCCGAGAAAATTTCATATATCACAAGTATGCAGGTGTCAACATTCGAATATTTGCTGTATTTAGTAAAAAATTTAATTTTTAAGCAAAACGCAAACAACCGCAAAAGCATAACACCTGCAAAAAGATTAGTTATAACATTTTATGTCTTGTCTTGTCTGTTATTCGGTGTGAGTTGCGCCGGAACTCAGCACGTGTTGTTCGGCAACAAAGATGGTTTTCTCGCATTTGGTGTGCGTTGGCTGTATGAAAATTCGTAAGAAGCTCGACAACCAGTCAAAGCTCGAACATGCGTTCGGTGTGGGCTGTCGCATATGAAGCCACGGGCAGTTATCGTAAGAGACAAGAAAAACTGTTTTGGCTAACCCGGTTTGGGTTCAGCATTAGAAGAGTAAATATCGAAGTCGACACCACATGGATCGTACCATATTCGCCACTATTGTCTAATTCACATTCAAAACTCATTTTGCATTTTACTACTCATCACTAATTTTAATCCAAACACTGGTTACATTATCGTTACTACGATTACTTGAGTGCACGCGCAATTTTAGCCGCCAAAAATACGAAGCCATGAACTATCCAGTGGAATTTTTAAAAACTTTGGATATGCTTAGTATGCCGCCGCATTATTTGCGTCTCAAGGTTGGATCTGTCATTATTATGTGTGGCATCTTCATGCGCCGAAATTTTGTAATGAAACCTTACTGATTGTGCCACAACTTTCAAAGACAAGGTATAGAATACTTGATTCTTGTCCTTCGAGCTCCAGCGAGTTGCCATTTCCGTTCGAACGTATTCAGTTTCCAGTGAAAATTGCCTTTACGATGACAACCAACAGGACACAGGGATAGTCGCTAGAAGTGTGTGGCATTACTCTGGAAATGACATGTTATTCACACGGCCAGTTATACGTGGTGTATTCACGTGTTGGAAAACCATCTTCTCTGTACATTTAGGCACCGAAACAGACGTCAAAAAATGTTGTTTATCAAGCTGCGTTACATTAAATTATTATTAAAAAAATTATAAAAATCTAAAATAAATAATTTTTAACACAACGTAAATTCAACTTTCTTTTCATTTGAAAACCTATAATTTCACGCAGGACAACGCCTGCAAGGTCAGCTAGTACTATATAAAATTGAATTGATGTTCGTTCTTCTCGCTAAAACTCGAGAACGGCTAACGGATTTATCTTTTCTTGGTCTGGATATGTTCGTGGTGGTCTAGGGAATTTTTTTTATAAATTTGAATATAGTTACAATTTACGATCCCGAGAAGAAGACGACCTGACTTATTTTGTCGTAGTCAATCAAATATGCGAATCGCAATCCCTACCTCACGTGCTAACCGCACTGTTAACCTGAGAGAGACAGATTCAGAATATGGTCGTATTGCTATGTCAGAATTGAATTATTTAGTTAGTGAAATAGAAGGCTGAAAATGCAACGATTTCGTGCACTACAAGCACAACAATAGCAAGTACGACATAATGAAATTGACCGAATCCGCAGACGGAGTGCATCTCTGATTTTTTAATGAGCCCCCATCCCGCTATGAGCCGGTAATTGATTATAGTGCCGATAAATCGGTAACAATTAATATAATATGTAAATACTGTAAGGCGTTAAGTACACAGGGATCTATTTGATTATGTTCTGCTGGAATAAAAGAAAAATTGCCACAATTGGTGGCTCCACCAGATCCTTTACGCTCTTTAGTTTACGGGATTGGAAATGACTCTAAGAACTTCTTGGAAAACATTCAGAAATATAACAGCTGTTTCCAGATGACAACATTTGGCGCTACACGTATTGTACAGGTAATATATCAAAATATTTTTTTATAATATTCAGATGCAGATATCCCCCAACTTTATTTTATGGGCAATTCATATACGGAAGTTGATAATCGTTGTACTCACAATCCAACAGTGAAGAGAGCCATTGTCCAAGAAATTCTTCATCACTATAACAATTTAGTAAACATGTTTAAAATAGCATTGGATCGGATGACATCTGATAGCCATAATAATATCACTCGAGCTGACAAAACACCTGTGGGTGAACACACAAGGGTGTTTAATTCACCTACCATTGATGAATTGGCTGTTGTTACTGTAAGAGACAACTTACAATCTAGAGATATATATTGTGCTTCACCGTCCGAATAGTGTTAGTGCAACACACACGAGTTATGATGCATCACAATATTCTTTGATTTTCTGGCAGGAAGACGGATACCATTTTAATGTCAAAATGATAAATTAAGTAAGAGGTAAATAAATTTAATAAGAATAAATAATATTTTTAAATTTAAATTTAAAATCCAAGGAACAAATTAAACATTTATAATTTTTGATTGCAGGTGCTGAAACCAGCAAAAAAGTTAGTGCTATGAATTTTTATTCATACGGACTCAAAGTGCGTCAAGGTGAAGTAAATCATATTTAGATGAGTCAACAACTTTTTCATCAATTAGCAGTTGGCATGTAAGCCAAAATTGAAACGATTGACGTATGTACATCCGTTTGAACCAACAGCTACGATCAGAAGAATACATTTATCTCCGCGGTGCTATAAACGTCGATGGCAATGTAAATAATGTGGGAATTTTCCAACAACTTTACCAGCTTGACAGCCTTGACCCAATATGGAATGTAGTAGTTACCAAATACAATTCACCCTGTATGGTCGACATTAAGTATTCCAATCGATACTCAAGAGACCTGCTTGCTGAAATCATAACGGAAATGATATATGTTATCCAAAGCTTATCAGACTCATATCAATGTGGAATATTGTAACTCTGTGAAGTCGATAAAGTACATATGTAAATATGTTAACAAAGGTAGCGATATTGCCGTCTTCGCTGTAACCAATGCAAGAAATATCATGATAGCGGCCTATCTGGTACTATGATATTTCATCACACGTAGCAGCGAAGAAATTTGGCACGTCAACCATCGAAAACGTTAACAACATTCTTAACAGTTTGTAAAAATTATGATTTTGCTCGCATTTTGCTATATGCTTATATGCCACGCTACACATGGAATGCATCATAAGAATCCTTTCTGCGTCGAAAAAAAGGAACACCAGTAGAAGGACATCGAAATGTATTTGCTTTAGACGCTCTGAGTAGCATCTACATACTACGTCCAAAATAACGATGAATGTTAGTATTTTTCTTTGTTAGTGAATGTTCGTGATCCGACATAGTTTAAACAACTGAGAACAGTTAATGGACAGCTGTGTGCGACCTACCGTGAGGCATGCCAACTATTTCATTTACTTGAGAACGATTCGCACTGGGATGAAACGCTCAAGGATTCCGTAATATCTTCATCGCCGCATCAAATTCGTACATTTTTTGCGATTATCATATCGACATGTTACACAAAAGAATCCAAAAGATTTGTGGGTTAAGTGTGTGCAGAGATGACATGTCTGAGAATGTTTTGCATTGTGTGTGCCGTCAAACTTTGAATCCTGCACTATAAATGACTGCAGAAATTTACAATGAGACATTGATCATGATAGAAGATATGTGTTTATTGATGTCAAATAAAGTATTGTCATGCTTGGAATGACGGCACCCAAACGTCATGTGCACTATGCATTAAACCACGATTTGCAAAGAGAACAACGGTACGACATTGGAGCATGGGTCGAAAGAGTTTGTAAAAATTTTCTACAATTCAATCAACTACAAAGAGTTGCGTACGACACTTTGATAGAAGCTGGGAATAGTGGATCGGGTGGAATTTATTTCCTTGATGCTCCCGGAGGTTCTTAATTTCAATGCTTTTGGCGAGAATCAAATCGCGAAATGATGTTGCTTGTTGGAATAGCTGCGACTCTGCTAGAAGGCAGGCGAACTGCACATTATGCGTTGAAATTACCATAAAACATGCAAATCACCGAAACACCAATTTGCAAACATCGCCAAAAATAGCGCAATTCCCAAGATCCTACAGGTTGAATTAACAACTAATATGCGAGTATTTGTGCAAAAAGATGAAACTGCAAGTTGTTAGACACTGGAAGTAATAAAGTCGCAGTGGACACTTCGATCGGATTCATAACATTACCCAAATATATCTGTTACATCACAAAACAAAAAGAGGACCCTATTGAACGTGCTTCCCCAGATATAGCGCAACAGTTCAATAAGCATAATTGGTATGGTGAACGATCAATATTGGCTGCGAAAAATAAGGATGGTGAGGATTGCAATCGTCAGAATTTATTTCCTTCAAATCAGTCGACACTGTTATGAACCAGGATGACATAGTCAACTATCCCACGGAGTTTATTTACATTCACTGGAATTGCCTGGATTACTACCACACTATATGCAATCAAAAGTAGGATCAGTCGTCATCATCCTCCGAAATATTAATCAACCTTTACTGTGCAATGGTTCAAAACAATTTTTAGAAGTTGCCGAGTCAACTTGGAGTTTCCCTGTTTCGCGAATGGACAATTAGACATCGTACGTGTAGTGTATGAGAAACATTTATATTAATAAACAGAGAGTATCATAACAGCATATGTCTGTCAATATCAAATTTAAACCTTATAAATGGCCAATATTTCAGGAAAACTCTGTTTTATAAATAAGAAACGTGATGTGTCCAAAATAATAATAAAACTTCATGCTTCTTTCAAAAAAATATTTTTTTGTTAAATACGGATTCGTTTTGCTTGTTTTAAAATTATTTTATACAAAAGTTTAGGTCTCAGGCAGTACACCGACTGAGGCAGTACAAAATCTGCCGTATCAGCTAGACAACTATAAAATTTACCAAAATATTTTGGATGTTTGAAAAGCGTTCCTTTTAATCACATGTCCGGACTTGGCATATGCACGAACACGTTAGTACTTCGTCATATTTAAACTACTGGCCTATCAGTATGCGCACGACCATGACGCTTATAACCGGAGAAACTCGCAGCTGCACATGCAAATTTTAAAATTCTTATCATGCTCATACTTACCGATACCGATGATATCTATGAAACCGTCAAAAAGACGCATATGACCCTTTAGATTTCACTCATAGGACGTTCGGATTAAGGAATGCAGCGCAAACGTCCCAGCGTCTAATTAACGAAATACTTGCCAAACTGTGTCAAAGCATTAACAAGCATGAAACCGCTTAAGACTGAAATATAGCTCAAACGTTTTTGGCAATGTTTAACTCTTATCGGACATTACTTAATAACTTAAGCTGAATGCGGAACAGTACGTACGACCATGAGGTTACCGCGTTATGCATCGCAATCCATCATTTTCATTACATATTACATATTTATATGGTATTCAAACACTTACGACCGCCATATTGACTTCGACGCCGTCGGCATAGACCACGATAACGATGAAGAGCTACTGGTACACCTAAATGCCAGCATTCGACACTCACTAAAATTAAAATCTTTTATGTTACATCCAAGTACGAGAAAGGTATTTTATGATATATCTACAATACGAACTCGTCCCCTTGTAACATCAAAATTTCGACAAACTTTTCCTTGCGATACACACAATCTGTTCATTTGGCCAGGCATTGCGAGAGATAGCAGATCTTTTGCATGACATTGTAACAGTGCAAAAGAGTCATCCGACACAACAAAAGCTTACTCCAACGCAGAATAAATCCTAATAGCCGAGTCGGACATTTGCATACTGACATTGTCGGTCCGCTTTCCAATATCGGACGACAATCGATATTGCTTCACCGTAAGCGATTTACGTGATGATAACAAAGGCCTTGGTAACTGGCTGGATTTTCCGTTTTGGACTATCCATCGACATAACGTTGGATCTCGGTCGTCAATACAAAAGCTCCATACTCCAAACACTACTAAAATATTTGATAGTGAGGCATTTAAAACCAACGCCGTATCATCTCCAATGTAATGGACTAATAGATCCATAGCTTCGCACATTAAAGTCTGCTATTTTATGTCGTAAAGTAGATCAGTGGATAACCTATTTACCTCTTACACTACTTCGGTTCTTCTCCTTCTGAATTGGTGTATAGAAAATCATTACGATTAACTTCAGAGTTTTTCATTGAACAATTCAGCAACAAGAACCAAACATAAATCTTGGTGGAGCTACGCCGTATCATACGTCCGCGTCCTGTTAGTACAACTTGGCATACCAACCAAAAAAATCGATCGTCAAGTGGTGTAAGGAGGGTACTGTGACAGCATCATAAATGCTATTAATTTTTATTTGTCAATACATCCATGCGTTTTGACAGTTGTAACCTGTTGCTACATATTATACTAGTTTTGTTGACCTAACGGTTGTACGTATCACTTAAAACTAAATGAAATAGATATAGGGATATATATATAATTTATCAGTAAGACCAGAAAAGTTGAAATACTGGTGACTATCTGTCTGTCCATCCATCCGCCCGTGCAAGCTACAGGTTGAGTAAACAATAGATGAAACTTCTTACGCGGTTTTTAATACAAATTACGAGTTCGTTGATGAGCGTAATCGGTCTACGGCAACTCCCTCAAATCAATATTAACCGAAAACCTCTAAAGTGTCATAATTAAGCACTTAATTAAGTGCTGGCCACGTCCTCTAATAAGTTTAATGTACACCTCTCCTCAACTACCAATACTACAACTGCCAAACTTGCAAAGAGGAAATATTATGAGAACTCTACTAACAGTGCGAAAATGCTGAAATCGGAAGATAACCCAGCTCACTCCCCATATAACGGCACTATTCTAAACTACTAAAAGCGCAACAAATCAATGACTAATTACGACAGCCACATTAAATTTTACCTCTGAAATTACTTTTAGAGAGTTTTATTGGGTCTGGTTTGAAAATTGGACAATTGGCCTGGCATCGCCCACGTTTTGGTGAATTCCTTATCTCGGGACTCGGCCGACCGATTTCGACTACACATAGTACTTACCATACCTTATATTCCTATGTCACAGTGTGAAAATGGGCTAACATTTTGCACTAATACTTCCTTTAAAGTTATCTTATGACCAAAAATTGTTCAAATTATTGAAGCCCCTACCTACCGAATATGTGAACCCCAGTATCTACATTTGAATTCTTACCGAACATAACGGTCAATGTCTAAAATATACAAATGAAAATCATATAAAAACCTTTCTCGACAATAGTATTTCTGTGTATTAAAAATAGATTGAATGAGGTGGATACTAGGGTGGGTCGATTCCGGAATTTTTCGATTCGGGATTTCTAACAGTGCGGAAAAGTTGCCTTAGTACTTCCTRMTTCCAATGCAACTTTTTGTTTTGAGATCGGATTGCATCTTCAACCCCAACTCCGGCCTTGAAATTTCGGAAATTCACCTAAAATCGCGAAATTGTCTACCTAGCGCCTGAAATACGCATCTAATGGCAAAATGTATAAAATAAAAGTTATTTGTCACGTCATTTGCTACCGAAATTTGATCATAGGCGTAGGACGAACCGTTCTCGAGATACGAGCGAAAATGCGGCGCGCCACAGCGCAAAGTTCAAATTGTTGCAGCTCTCAGCTAACCTGTATTGGTCACACAGAACCCAACGCGTGGAGGTGGCTGCTCTTCGGGTTCCTCCCAAGCCCAACCCAACCAA